CCTGAATCCAACTTCTTAAAAACAGTACTACAGGACTTCAAGACCCAGATTAATCCCAACTCATTAATAGTAGGGGAATTCAGTACCCCATTGTCTCCATTAGATAGGTCAACAGGACAGAGAATTAACAGAGGGACATCTGAATTAAACAATACCATTTATCAAATGGACCTAACAGATATCTACTGAATAGACCACCTAAGCACCAAAGAATATACTTTTATTCAGTGCCCCATGGAACCTTCTCCAGAATCAACAATGTACAGAGGCACAAAACAAACCTCAAAAAATACAAAAAGACTGAAATAATTCCATGCATTCTATCAGACCACAATGCAATAAAGGTTAAAATCAACACTGGAAGAAACCCCAGTAAACGCATGAAACACATGGAAATTAAACAACAAACTTCTGAATGATGAATGGGACAAAGGAGAAATTAAGAAAGAAATAAAAGTATTCCTGGAACTAAATGAAAAGGACAATACAACACAACAAAACCTCTGGAACACATTGAAAATAGTCCTTAAAGGGAAGTTTAGAACTCTAAGTTCCTGCATGAAAAAACTGAAAAGAACACAAATAAATGATGTAATATTGAAACTCAAGACACTTGTAAAGCAACAACAAATGAAACCCAAACACAAAGCCAAACACAGCAGACAAGAAGAAATAACAAAATTCAGAGCAGAAATTAATGAAATAGAAACAAAGAAAACAATACAAAGATCAACGAATCCAAGAGCTGGTTCTTTGAAAAGATAGCAAGATTGATAGACTGCTAGCCCAAATAACCAAAAGAAAGAAACAGCATCTCTAAATCAACAAAATCAGAAATGAAAGGGGAAAACATCCAACAGATATCAAAGAGATCCAGAATATTATAAGAGAATAAATACTTTAAAAACCTATATGTTACTAAATTTGAAAACGTAAAAGATATGGATAAGTACCTAAAAGCATGGCAACCACCAAAACTAAACCAAGAAGAGATTAACAGCTTAAATAGACCCATAATACATAAAGAAATTGAAATAGTAATACAAAACTTCCCAACTAGTAAAAGGCCAGGACCAGAGGGATTTACAGCAGAATTCAACCAGGCATTTAAAGAGGATATACATCCAATACTAATTAAGTTATTCAAAAAGAAAGAAATGGAAGGAGAACTTCCAAATGCCTTCTATGAAACCAGCATCACTCTAATACCAAAGCCAGGTAAAGATACAACCAAAAAAAAAAACCTATAGACTCATATTCCTAATGAATATATTTGCAAAAATTCTCAAACTACTTGCAAACTACACACGGACACACATCAAAAAGATCATCTACCATAATCAAGTTGGCTTTATTCCAGAGATGCAGGGATGGTTCAACATATGTAAGTCCATAAATGTCATAAATCATATATATGGGCTCAAAGACAAGAACCACATGGTCACCTCAACAGGTGCAGAGAACGCCTTTGACAAAATTCAGCATGCATTTATGTTCAAAGTCCTCAACATAATTAAATCCATATATAACAAACCCATAGCCAACATCATTCTAAATGGAGAAAAACTGGAAGCATTCCCCTTGAAATCAGGAACCAGACAGTATCCAGTCCACTATCTCCACTCCTCTTTAACATAGTGCTTGAAACTCTTGTACAAGCAGTAAGACAAGAGAAAAAAATTAAAGGAGTAATAATTAGAAAAGAAGAGATAAAATTATCACTTTTTGCAGATAATACGTTACTATATCTGAGATGCCAGAAAGTCCACCAGAAAACTTCTAGAAATTATTAACACATTCAGTAAAGTGTCAGGTTACAAAATTAACCTACAAAAGTTTGTAGCATTTCCACCTACCAATAACAAGCAATCAGTGAAAGAATATATGGAAACACTCCCTTTCACAATAGATGCAAAATGAAAAAAAAGTATCTTGGGATAAACCTGACCAATGACAT